GTCTCGTCCACTCGCGCCAACGAGGCAATGCATAGTTCTCGTGCGATGCGCGGTCTTCATCCTCGCACTGGTGCCTCTTAATCCTAGTGCCACCTTCGACGCCAAGTCTCCTCGGTTTGCTTGGCCGATGAGGTGGGGACACGGCTGTACGGAAGAGCTGTGCGTTGCAGCGAGTTTCATGCCCTGCAGTGTAGCTTCTGTGTTTCATGCTGCTTGGGCGAGTCCGTTATTTTTTTTTTAGTTTTTTTTTTTTTTTTTTATTTAGTTAGTAGTTCGGACTCGCGATTTCCCATTTTTTTTTCCTAGGTAACAGCACTCCACTTATGACTACCCATCCGTAGTACTCACATACTAATAATTTAGCCTATCCTGTATCCTTTCGCACTGCCAGATTCTAATCGTCATACCTTCACCCACCTCATTAAGTATTTTATCCTAATCCGTAGAAGATACGCGGAGACTTTTTCTATATGAATAATGCCCCGCACATCCTTATACTATCCTACATACTCTATCAAACTTCATCCATACTCACGCACTCCTCTACACGTGTACTCATTGACACACACCCCGTCCTCCGCCTCCTCCCTCCCCCCTCCCCTCCCTCCTCCCTCCTCATCCCTCCTCCTCCTCCTACTCCTTCCTCCTCCCCCTCTCCTCCTCATCCTCTTCCTCCTCCTCCCCCTCCTCCTCCTCCTCCTCCTCCTCCTCCTCCTCCTCCTCCTCCTCCTCCTCCTCCTCCTCCAGGGTCTTGGGAACGTCCTTGGGGGGCTCTTCCTCTCGCTACTCCCTGTGCATTACGAGGTTAGCATGAGCTCGAAATATTTCGGAGGAGCCGTTTCTTGTTCTGGCACTAGCGCGTTCTGGAGCGCTGATTCCCTTAAGCGTCGAGATTGTTTCCGATGCTGGCGAGATCATGATTTGTCGTGTTGCCTATTCTGGCGAATTGGGCCTCCTCTCTTCTCAGTTCGTGCGCTGCCACGCTCGTCCTTCAAGACGCATGCCGGCTTGCATACGCGGATCCCCGCAAATGTGATGGATGTCAAATCCCCCGCCCCTAGGGTCCAAAATCCCGTGAGAGGTGGGAGGGCGCCCAACGGGCTTACCTTCGCACATCGGATCGCACATCGGGGACTCCCGGGGCCTCCATCTCCAGCTTCCGACCCTTCCAAGATGCTCCAGGTGCGCTCCAAAACGGCGTAAAAGAAGGTCCAACGCGCCATCGAGGCCTCAAGAAAACCTACGTTGGCCGCCAAACAGCCCAGGAGGCCCCTCAGACGCCCCAAGAAGCCCCAAAAGGGACCAAGGGAGCCTCAAGAGGCAAAAGAACACTGGTGTTCCAGAATATGCGTTCAGGAGATATTCGCGCTCTCGCCTTCTTGGGCTTCTGAGATCGGGTGCGCCAGAAGAGGAGAAGGGGCGCAAATCATGGTCCGAGGCGTGTGCGCGGACGAGTGAGGCGCCAGGGGATGCAGTGCAATGAGAAGGGCCATGAAATCTGGGAGATGCCATGGCCCCGGCCATGATATGATACCCTCCTTAGTCCACGCCCGCCCGCTTGAACGCCCGAGTGGAACCCAAGACGGCGTGAGAGGCTCTCAAGATCGATCCGAGGCTGGCCAAGAGGCCCCCACGAGGGCCCAGAGACTGCCCCAGAGGGCCCCGAGACTGCCCGAGAGGCTCAGGACGCCAACAGGGGCCGCCGAGAGGACCCCTGGAAGGGCCCAGGAGGAAACCCGCAGGGGCCCCAGAAGCCCTCCCTCCCCAAGAAGATGGCCCCCGAGACCCCCCGCGTGCCTCCCGGAGGACCCAAGGGCCCCCCTGGAAGCACCGACAGGGCCCCAACCAAAAAGCCAGGAGCCCTTCAGAAGGCTCCCCAGAGGCCGCCTCTGGGGCCTTCCAGAGGCACCCAGTAAGCCCGCAACGGACGCGGAGGAGAACAACGACTGGGCAGAAACTACACGCAGGCAGAACGACGGGAAGCGGCGAACAACACATACGAAATCAGAAGCCGCACATATCATATTCTGGGGGACGGCGGACTGCAAAAATCCTCTCGAGTACAACACTTAGGAAGGGGTCGAGATCTATGAGGCCAACGTGTCGATTGAGTCGTCAGGCCCACGCTTCCACCGCGTTGCCTTCCCGTTCTCCCGCCCTTCCCCTCATTCTCCCCCCCCCTCTCCTCCCCCTCTCCTCCCTCCCACAACCTCACCAATCCCCCAAGAGAAGGAAGAAGAATAAGGAGGAGGAGGAGGAGGAGGAGGAGGGAAGAGGAGGAGAAGGAGGAGGAGGAGGAGGTGGACAATGGCAAACGCGGCGCACACCACTGCTGCTGCGATGAACCTCCCACCCCACGTCAAGCCAACGCGTGTGTGTGCTGTCACTGTGGCAAGCGCCCGCTGACAGTGTGAGAGCCCCAGGAGCCTCCATGGGAAGGAAGGCGCCTGATCATGTGCAGAGACGACCGTACAAACTCTGCAAAGCACAATGCGTGCGA